TCAGCCCAGCTGGGTATAATTTGCCATCAGCAGCACATCAGCCTGTGGGCAGCACAGCCTGACCCACTGAGCTCGAATGGCCAAAGGATGCTTTTGAGCATGCCTGAGCCAGGGGTACACAGCATCACCCAGCCTGATAAACTGTGCTGCTTATCTGAGGGTCTGAATTAATTAAGCCCTGCACCTGGCATGGGATATAATGCTGAATTACAGCTGTTGCTGCTCTTCCCTGGCACGGTGTAGAGGTGAGTGATTTGCTGCACCTGAGGCAGCTGATGGGAATGCTCAGATGTGGGACCTGAGACCTGGTACTGGAGATGGGCACTGAAGTACCTGGCCCTGGCTGCTTTAAGAGGCTTTTCACAAGCTCCCATCCTGCACAGGAGGAAAGCTCATCTTTTTATAAACATTCATAGAATCATTAACGTTGGAAAAGACCTCTGAGATGACAAGGTTCAATTGTCAACCCACCCCCACCATGCCCACTGCCCACATCTCTCAGTGCTACATCTCCATGGTTCTTGAACACCTCCATGAATGGTGACCCCACCACTCCCATGGCAGCTGTGCCACTGCATCACCACTCCTTTGGAGAAGAAATTTATCCTAATATGTGTTGGGGACAGGACAAGGGAGTCCCAGGGTTTGCATGGCACCCGAAGGAACAGCTCCAACACATGACATGGGCCCGGATTCACCCCTGGGAAGCACTCCCTCCAAGAATAGGTGGGGTTTTCATTTTTCAGAGTGTTAATGTTGTTAGAAAACTTTCCCGAATAGCTTTGCATGTTAACTCATGAAGAAAACAGCATATATTCAACAAGAGTCCGTCTGATTCAATAGAAATAGATCTTTATTAATAACATGCACGTTATATGTATATTTAAAATACCTATACATTTTTCTACTATTCACTTTAGAAAACGATTTCATAAAAACCTTTCAATCAGGTCCCGAGTAATTTTAAACATTAAAAAGCCATTTACCATCGTAGAATCAGTAGGCGTGATCCCAGTGAGTTGGTGTACAGTCACCTGTAACACAGCGCAGGCTCATGCATTCCAGCAGAAGCGAGCGTTCCCCTTTCTGCGGAGTTAAGCGCGTCAAATATCAGATGAAATACTTGACGGCACCTGCCGCAGTCATTATATGCAGTTGTGATTCCCTGCTGAGAGCACAATGTGGCATTTAGAAGCTGGAGACGGCTTTTGTACAACGGTTGGAGCTCACGTGAAGGCAGGGCGGCTAGTGCAGAACCCGGGGATGGCAGAAACTGGAAAAAGAGAAATTCAGGGACCGACCGCAGGGAGGAAAGCAGTCTAGAAAAGAGGAGAAGAGGAAATTGCCAAAGTGTGAAGTGGGGCTGGTGCTTCCCAAGGCCCTGTGGGCACAGAGCCGGAGCGGCATGGCGTGCATGGGGCTGTCGGCTAAAGGCGGGATGCGGGTTTGCATGTACAAAGGCTGTATGAAGATGGGACTTTAAGGCACCGTAGTCCATATACTCAACACATTCATCAAAAACAACAGTTCCATTTACAGTGCAATATCAATGTATTCCAGAAGTCAAGCAGCAGCTCTGCCCTCACTTCTCTCTGGTAATTCAGCAATGGAGGAGCACATTAGGACAGGGCAGCACCCACATTGCACATGCTGAGCATGGAGCACATAAGGAGCCTCGCACGGATGTGCACAGAGAGGCAATAACCAAGGTGTATGGTGGAGCAGAGCCCTACATTTTGGAGATGTCAGAATGCAAAGCTGATTCCATGCAGAGCCTCCTGTTGCTGCTCAGTGCCACCAGCTCAAGTCCAGCACTCATAGCCAAGCGAGAGAGTGGCACAGAGGGAGCTAAACTCTTTTAAACACTAATTACAGTCACATGTGCTGTTCCAAAATGACCACACATTGTCCTAAGCCAGCCCTATTGGGAATGACCAGCTACCTGTGAGCAGGTCTGTCTGTGCCACCCACCATCGCCTCATGAATGCTATCTCCAAGGCAACAGAATCAAAGGGAAGGAAGGTCCTTCCTTACATCCAGTGCAAACATAGCCCATGTGTGGGAGTTCCTATCGCAGTCATAATGGAACATCTATATATGTGTATATATATACTTATCGCCGAAATCTGACCACCTACACATTCACACATCAGAGCCAGAAGAGCTGAATTGCAGCTATGAGCCCTAAAACAGAACAATCACTGCATGAAGCTGTATTAAAGGGCTGGTGCCCAGGAGCTTGGAAAATAAGTGATAGAAGCGGTACGTCGTTCAAAAAGTGTCAAACATTTCTGGAGCAACTTGTGATGCTACTGCACCTCTGTACTGCTTCATCACTGCAGGTTATGGCTATCAAGCGCTACGGTTGAATGGTTGAATGTTGATCCACTTTTCACTGGCAAAAATCACTGTGTGAAGCATAAGGCAGCAAAAACTTGAGCAGATGCAATGTTTAGAGTTGAGGACCTGTAACTCAATTTCAAATCAAAGCCAACATTCTAGAAAGAAGGAGTTGTAACATCTCCTGGAGCAAGTAGAAATTTAAGAAATAAAATCAGACAACGTTTTTTTGTTCAAGAGGAGAAAACGTGAGTAAAGTGTTACCTTCTTTCACAGGTACCCAAGTGGTTTTGTTGTCTGATCCCAGTTCTTGCCTGTGCTACCTCCTGAGCACGCAGTAGGCAGGAATATGCCTGCCCTGTTCAGCAGAGGAGGGAATTTGTCATTTGTGAGATGGTGGGATAATGCTAAGGTAAGGTTAAAGGTTAAAGGCCTTAATCCTACCGAGCATTCGTGCCAATGCAGCAATTGTTATTTGATGTAGGAAATTTCATTTTTCAGGCCAGGACTATCCTCTGAGTGTAACAGAGCAGATCGGAGGGGGAAAGCACCCTAGCATTCAGTGTAGCCCCTGCACTGCTGTGAGTTCAGGCAAAAACAGACAAAAAGAGCAAAACAAGTGCATAAACCAAGTCAGTTTATAGCAGAAGAATCACACTGACTGAACAACCACACGGCACACTGTGCCCCCAGTGGCCTCCTGGGCACAGGCGCTACCTCTGCCTCTGCCCGCAGTGCCCCATTCCCAGCCTTCCCACAGTACCTGTGCTGCTCATGCTCCCCACTTTGCAGGTTATCCTTCTCTTCATATAAACTGTTGTTTTGCACTAATAAGCTGCACCTTGCTGCTGCTTTCTGTCCCCTAAACCTGTACTGCTGGGGCAGGAGTTCATGTTGCTCCTTGCACCTCCTACTCCCCTCCTTTGTCCTGTGCTGTGAACACGTGCCCAGCAGCTGCAGTGTCACAGCTGAGATGCTGTGAGGTTCCTCCTCTAGCCCTGCACTGAGCACAGCCTGGTCAAGCAGTGGTATTTTTTGTACTTCAGAAATAGCATCAGCCACATCTGCATGAGAAAAGACTTCCAAAACTAAAAACAAATTCTGTTCTTCAACATGAACCTGCCTCCAGCTGAGAGTGCTCTTCTATTTGCTCTGCTCTAAAGATGCAGGGCTGGCAGCCTGCCAGGCAAGGCCAGACTCCCCCACAATAATTCTGCAGCTCTGTAGGACAGGTTTGGACCATTGGTGTATTAGGTCAGCAGTCCTAGGAATCAGTCACTGATACATCACAGCTCGTTCATCACATTTCCCCAGGTTATAGTGCAATCATTGCTTTTGCTGGAGCATCATCTCTTCCCTTATATTACTCTTTGGTATTTTCATGGTACAGCTTTGGCAGCTATAAAACCTCCCACTTGTGATCACCAGTTTTGCTGAACAGCTCTCATGTCAATCCGCAGCTCATAAGATACATATTTACATAACCTAAGGTTAACTCCCAGGTCAAAATCAGACATTTTGGTTAGATTGGGCCCTGGGCAATCTGATCCAGTATTTAGCCTAGCAGCTGGCAGTGCTGCACAAGACGGGGGTTAAAACATAACCATCCTTGAGGTCCCTTCCAACCCAAGCCATTCTGTGGCTCTATGATTTCACTTCACCTGAAACACCATTACCATTGCTGAGCAGCTTCATCAGGAGTACCTCTGAACTTCTACTAGCATCTGTCACATACATTCATTCTCTATCCAGAGAAGTTACCACTGCTTTTCTGTCTTTCCATGTCAAAATCAATGTTTACCTATTGTTTCCTAGCACCAGTGTGAACCCCTTGCTAAACAGCAGGTCAGCATGCAGGAAGGTATGGGGGAAACAGCCTGAATGAAGCTAAGGGAACATGGCGACAGGACAAAGAAACAATCTGTCCTGTGAGCCGTTCTGCTCTGTACTAGAATAGCAAAGTAAATACCAGCTAAGAGATAATGTAATTAAAAAGGTGAATGCAATTATTCTAAAAATAATAGTAATAACCTTGCAAATCTCATAGTAGTTTAAGTAGCAAGCGAGTTAGTCTCTGAGCATCCTAAGCAAAAGCCATTCCTTCGGCACTGACCCTTTCATGTACAAAGCATTTCCTCAGTGAAACTTCCTATCTGTCCCTTCGCAGTCAGTAACTGGCACCTGGCTCCTCGCTGCCGGCCTGCTCCGCTACCTGGGGCTCCCCTTCTGCTAAGGGTGGCACAACTGAACGACAAAGTGATTCCCAGCATCTGTATCTACACACAGAGAACTGCAACGTGGCTTTGCTTCCACACGACACATTGCATGTGTGTGAGGCCTCAGCATCACACCTGCCCTGTGTGTGCACGGTGCTTCGTGGCCAATTGGTTAACATGGGGCTGCGGAGAGGTGCCCAAAGCACCCAACTCACCCCAAGCTGCTGAGTCCAAGCTCCGCTCCCACCTCACCACGGGCATCTCTGCAATCAGTGCCTCATCCTAACGCCTCAGCAAGCAGTTCAAGCATTCAGAAACAAACATCGGTGGGTCTAACAGCTACTTTAATTCATTTTATAAATAAGCAATTGAGAATTTTGCTCCAGGTGGCTGCTTGTGTAGCCCATCCCATAAACGGCGTTCTCTGCAGAATAAGGCACAATGCGATACGAATGCAGCTCTTCATAATAGAGTGACTGAGAACAGCACTCGTGTACCATAAACTTCAGCCGTTTTCGTGAGTCAGAGTAAGCAGTCCTATAGCACGGAGCCTCCTTAAAGTATTCATAGCTCTCCCTCTCTGTCTCTAGGTGAATCTTCCTCAACAGATTGTTAATTAACACCGACCTACGGAGATAGGCTTCGGGATCTTCCAGGAATCGGAGTTTCTGGAGAGAAAGTTTTAGAATACAAGTCCGGTCCTCAGGGATTATCAGGTGCTGGGGAGCAAAGAGCATCACACGGGTCTTTAGTAGGGAGGGATGTAACCGAGGGAGGATGGGAGCTGGAAGGAGAAAGCTACTCACTTTTGGACAGTACTCATGGTAATCTTGATGTAGATGTTCTTCTTCTGCATATTTTCTCTTAAAGTAGGCTACTTTCGACGTCGTTAATGGATTTGGTAGGCCCCAGTCAGATCAGCTCTGTGCAAGATTAAGAGAGGGTTTAGGTTAGATTTAGGTTAGATGTTAGGAGGAAACTCTTTACTGTGTGTGCCCCATCCCTGCAGGTGCCCGAGGCTGCGGAGGGGCCCTGGGCAGGCTGAGCTGGTGGCTGGCAACCAGCTCTCAGCAGGGGCTGGAGCTGGGTGGGCTGTAAAGTCCCTTCCAAGCCAAACCATGCTCAGGAGCAGTGACCACCTGCACTAGAGCTGCTGCCATCAGTACCCCGGCTGGTGACCGCCCTCCGGACCAAGGTAGGTGATAACCCGAGCCCAGCTCCGGGTGCTGCCGGCCAGCTTTGCAGCGATCTCTCGCTAGGTGGTAGTGTGGTCCCATGGCAGCCCGGCTCGGTGTGCTGCTGCTGCTGATCCTTGGGCAGCTCTGAGCGCTCGCAGCCTGCTTGATGCTCAGCCCTTCAGCGAAGGGAAGGGAGCGCAGAGCCCTGGGGGTCCCGCGGGCTGCTCCCAGCTGCTCCTCTTTAGCAGAGGAGTCACAGTGCTACATCACTGCAGTGGGACCGTAACTTTCCTTCTGGTGAGCACCAGACAGAACGCAGGCTGGGTTTTGGTTTCATTAGACAGGAGGCACGTGTGTTTGGGGTTGACATCATCGTGGACAAAACTCTCTCTGTTAAAAGCAGTTTCTGTGGTTTGCTTTCAAACGTGCTATTTTTCTGAAGGTTATTAATGGTCAATTTTAAAGTCCACAGAAAGTCACCACCTGGAGCCGCTCACAGTCAGGTCTCGGAGCTTAAGCTTCCTTCTCCAAACTGAGATGCCTTTACAGAGGTGTGTAAAACTTTGGCTATTGGGGCAATAAAGGTCTTGGTTCTGGAGTGCAGAATCTCTCCTATGGTAACAGAACCAAATACACCACACATATAAGAGAGAGCTCGTGGTGCTGGATGGATCCCACCACGCTCTCTGAGCTGCAGGTGGGAGTGAAAGGACATTAACACTGATCCTGCCCCTGCTAGAGGCATCTCTCCTTCCCTGGTAGGAGAAAGTTATGTGCTCTGCCTTCCTCTTTCCATGCCGAAACCCACAAGAGATGCCCAAACAGGACAAATCCTCATAGAAGACTCTTCCTGTGTTTTCTTGCTGAACTTCAGGTTAGTGAGAATGGAGGTTTGCCATAAAGGACACTATAAACCTGGGCAGAAATCCCTTGGCTGGTGGATTAATGGCCTGTCTGGAGCCAAGTGTCCCAGCCCTGCTTTGGGACCCAGCACTGCTCTCACAAAAGAGGACTCAGAAAGGGACTATCCCTCCTTGCAATAGGACAATGCCATGTTTCTGTCAGCCTGGATGGATCACTGCGCACAGCTCTTGGGAGCAGGGCACAGCTATGGCCTTCACAGCACTGCCAGTCCCGGGCAGCTGCAAAAAGTGGTCCAAATGCACAGCCTTCACTGCTGGCAGGTTTTATCCTACATTTGAATTACACTGGAGACAGGGCACCCTGGGTACTGACACTGCTTCTCCTAGGTTCAAACCTCCCTGCTGTGTTATCTGAACACAGGCAGAAAAGCATTTATGCTCCCAAAGCTGTAGGATAAGAGAACATCACAAGGACTCGGGGGAGACTTTATAGCTCTCTATAATGACCTGAAAGGAGGTTGTGGTGAGGTGGGGGTCGGCCTCTTCTGCGTAACTAGCAATAGGGTGAGAACCAGCCTCAAGTTGTACTGGTGTGGGGGGGTTCAGGTTGGATATTAGGAAAAATTTCTTCTCGGAAAGAATGGCCAAGCACTAGAACAGGCTGTCTAAGGAGATGGTAGAGTCACTGTCCCTGGAGGTGTTCAAGAAATGTGCAGATGTGGTACTAAGGGACGTGGCTTAGGGGGGAAATACTGGTGCTAGGTGAATGGCTGGACTGGGTGATGTTGGAGGTCATTTCCAACCTTAATGATGATTACAGTTTTCCTCAGCCTTTCTCTGAAGTGGACAGAGGTATGAAAGAAGAAGTGATGTTCCCATGGTGCCATCGGGGATGGGAATAAAGCCAAACCCAGAGTGCAGGGTGAGCCAACCAGGGGCTTGTTGTTCTCCTTCAAAACAAGCTTCTAAGTTGTAAAACTCACTCTGGTGATTTCCACTGAAAAGGCTGAAAGCACAGCCTGTGTACTCTGCATGCAGAACATGAGCAGAGGCAGGACAGAAACCCAGGGCATGCAGAGCATCACCACTCAACCCTCCATCTCTTCCATCTCCCTTGAGATGGAGGATGACAACTGGGACACCATTGGCCCTAAGGACAAACAGTCCTGACGAAGGACCAGCAAACTGCTTGGGATAGCCATGCCAGATGGACAGGAGGAGGCTGTGTCCAAGAGCCATGGAGATGTGGCAGAGGGACACGGTCAGTGAGCATAGTGCAGATGGATTGGGGTTGGACTTGGGCATCTTAAACGTCTTTTTCCAGCTTCAGTTTTTCTGTGATTCCGTGAAGCTTCCTGCAGCTGGCCCCATCCCTGTTCCCAACACTGGGCTGCAAAGCTGATTTTAAAAGGACACGTTCCCACCTGCAAGCACAAAGCTCCTCAAAGACCAAGAGCAGAGCAGACGCAAGCTGCTCGGTGCTGGCTGTCAGCAAAGCCCAGCGGTTCCAGCCCTGCAGGACTCCTGAAAGTCAGTGCGGACTGCCTGGCCGGGCTGCAGGCACGCACGGCGGTAGTAATGCGGCAGTGAATCAGACCCTTCGTGTTTTGTTTAAATATAAACATATTGAATCAGTGCTTTTTTGTGAGGAAGGCTATTCTCGCCAGCCAAGTGTTTTGACAGCTACAGCAAGGTGGTATGAGTCACTGCCTCCGCCTCAGCCAGCGTTGGAGACAGATACATCTTAATCACATTACATTTCTTCAGTGCCGCACCACAATCCCAGGCACGGGGCCAACCATCCCCCCAGGGATGGAGCGGTGGATCCTGAGTGCGAAGTTTGCCCTCCCTGCCCAGCCGAGCCCGGCTGCTCGGAATGCACACAGCACCGCAGCGGCTCCCGCTGCCATTAGCACTAATGGAAGTTGGGAGCATAAATCCCATGCGTGGCACTGAGGGGATGGAGGCTGCTGCCTCCCAGGTCTCCCCAGAGCAGCTTCATGAGCTCTTTAACTGTACTTTCAAATACGTGCCTGTTCTTACTCCTTGCCCTGGGAATAATCACAGCGCTGCGTGGACCCACAGGGTTATTAGGCATGTTTGGGCAGAGGGTCTTATCTAAATTGAAATGGAAATTGATTTATAGCATGGCAACTTCATGATCGAGCTGCAAATGGCACAAGATAGTCTTCACCTGCCTTACGGTCCCCCATCACACAGAGATAGAGCCTCTATGCAGCATGAATTAGTACTGCTGGTCCCAGGAGGGCCACGGGTCATCTCAGAGAGGGGGGTTAGCAAATGACCAAGCAGCTGAGAGAAAGCAAAGATTGTGCTTTTCCACTTCAGGCAAATGGAAAGGGGACTGCCAGCCCTGGGTCTGCAGGTTGTACAGAGAGCTGCTCTGGCTGCCTCTGTTTTTCCCACCTTTCCTGAGGAAGAAGACCTGTCCCTGCAGTGTGCTGCTGCAGTGCTGGGGCTGGAGCAGCTGCTGCTCTCAGTGCATCACTGCAGATGGCTGCAGGAGAAATTCAGGGGCTCACTGGGTGAGCTGGAGCCAACAGCACCACGCAACTGAAATGAGCCGGTGCCCCACAGGTCTTCCTCTCACAGCACAAGGGGATGGAAGTGCAAGAGAGCCGGCTGAGATGGAGAGCATCTCTGAGCATCTCCTGCATGCACAAATAGAAAATCCAGTGCTTCTGAGCATGCAGAGATGGATATTTATTATCAGCAGGAGATGTGACTTTGACATGGCTGGAGATACTGCCTTGTCCTTGCGGCTGCCGTCAAGCTGCAGTGATGAATTCCCCTGCGATGAACCTGTGATGAACCTCAGCCACACTGCAATTACAAAGTGCTCAGCTGAAACCCTGCTCTGATTTCATGTTACACTGCCGCATTTCTCAGGACAAGCAGCCTCAGGTCCCGCCAAGGCTTTCCCAGCTTCAAAACACAGGCAGAGAAAATGTGAATGGGGAACACTGCCAGATCATGGGTTTCACATGGAATGACAATTGCAGAGCGTAGGGATGGATCTCCCACTCCCCACCCGGGCACAGAAATTCCCCTTGTTTGATCACCTGAGGGAAGGTAGCAGCCTTCCTACTTGCCGGAGCTGTGGCTTTGCACTTTAAAACTGCCTTCTTTTGGGACTTCTAATTGCTTTACAGATCTCCCTAGTTCACCAGGCACAGGCATCAGGATATCTCTCATGAATGCACAAAAACAGAGACAGTGATGGGTGATTGCTCCGCTCCCGTTCCCTGCAGCCCCCCTGCCTCCATCCCTCTGACCAAGAAAATGGGTATAGCTCAGCCAGATGCAGCAGAAAAATAGAATGACACCTTAATTCCATCTGAGTCCCCCTTTAGCAGTCATTTCCCTTGCTCCAAAGCCCGGTCAGCAGTAGTTGGCAAACACGACAATTACCTGAGGATGTGGAGTCAGTCTGCAAAGGGTCTCTCTGGGATGATGCCAGCAGTCCTGGTGAGATCTCCTCGCACGGGCTCAGCAAGCATTGCTGGCAGCACAGCCCCGCAGAACGTCACCTGTGGGGGGACCAAGGGGGAACATGGCTCAGGTGGCAGCAGCAGGACGAGCACGAGAAGAGAAAACAGGAAAAACAGAGTCCTGGGGTCACATCCAAATCATAGAATCGTTAAGGTTGGAGAGACCACTGAGGCTGTCTATTCCAAACTCCCAGACTTCACCCTCGCTTCCCGGACAGCCTTTCAGACATAAACCAGAACATGAGGAAAAACCATGTCAGCCTCTCAGTGGTACGGTTGTAATGCTCCCAGAGCAAATGCTGCACACACAGCTCCTCGGAATACCCGGAAGTTTGCTGAGCCAAAACACGACTGCAGCCTGAGCACAACCTCGTGAAACAGTGTGCTGTTTTCCCCATCAGCTCTTGTCAGCCTCACAGGAAAGCTGAAGGAATACAACTGAAACCACAGCATCATTTGGAGTGGCAACATCCATTTCCCATCACACAGCCCCCCTCCTGGCCCCTCACTGCCTGCAGAGTTAACACAGCCCTGGGGAAAGTCAGATTACAGGTTCTGTGTCCCAGGATTACTGCACTGTGCGTGTTTCTACGTTTGCCTTCTCAAGGGTCCCCATGGCACCGTGCAGAGAAACATCAACAGATCCATGTGTGCAGACCCACCTCTGCACTTCTATGTGCAGAGATGCTTATACTGCCTACGTCCACACGTGAAGAAAAAGCAGATCCAAACACTGTGAAAGATAGAGGAAAATAGAGCTTGTGTGTGTTTGCGCGCGTCTCGCAGCTAGAACACGTCTATGCTTAGGTGGCTGTCTCATCCCTGAGGATGGCACTTAGCAAACAGGCAACAAAAAGTAGCTCTGCTTACTTTGCAGAGTTTGCCCATAGGAAGACAGCAGAGAGAGCAGCACCTCGGTGCACAGCCCGTAGCCCTGCAGGACCAACGCTGCACCCTGCTCGGCTCCATGCCCTCTTCCGCAGCTCTGCAAAGCCGGCAGCTCGCACATACAAAACTCCCTGCGTGCCAGCAGCCGCCCGCAGCCCAGCAAATGCCACGCTGTCCTCAAGCACCCTCAGCCCTGCGGCACTCACCCCGCGATCCCCAGCTGTGGAGGGAGAGCTGCTCCCGTCCTTCTTCCTTCCCCGGCCGCTCCGAGCTGCTGGCTGCCGCTGGAAGTGGTGGCACTGGTGGCAGCTCCTGCGGGTCCCTGCAGCCACTGAGGAGCGCATCACCGCCCGGCTGCAGCCCGCGGAGGTGGGCGCCCAGATGTGCCCTGCACGGATTGGTCCAGCGGGAGCAGATGTTGCCCGGTTGCTAGGAGCGTTGCTAGGCGCCTTGCTAGGAGACGGTGACGCTCTCCCCATCACTGGCGCGACTCGAGGCTGCAGGGAGGGAGGGGAGGTCCTGGAGAGCCCGCCACCTCCATGGTGGGATGGGAAAGGCTGGAAGGAACGGGACAGGACAAGATAGGATGGGATGGGATGGACAGGGCGGGATGGGATGGGAGAATAGGGTGGAGAGGATGGGACAGGACAAGATAGGATGGGATGGGATGAGATGGAGTGGAATGGGATGGAATGGGTTGGCGTGGGATGAGGTGGGGTGGAACGGGATGGAATGGGTTGGGATGGGGTGGAATAGGATGGGATTGGACACGATGGGACGGGGAAGATGAGGCACATGCACGGTGGCTTGCTGCGCTGCAGTGTGCCACAGCTCAGAGCTGGAAAGGGGATGAGTTGCTGTCAGAGGCATTGCAGCAGGGCGAAGGATGTGTAAGTGAAATGCAGGAGCTAGGAGGGGGCAGCTCTGCTTCATGCCTTGCAGGTGGAGAGGACAGGTTATGTCCCATATGGGCAAGTTGAAGGGGGTATAGAGAGGAGCAGCAGCTGCAGGGGAAAGGATGCCAGGTAGCTGCCCCAGCCCGAAGAGATCAAGATGGGGATAAACCAGTGACCAGAAGGGAGGGAGTGGTGGCTCTGACTGAGGACTGCTGGTAATGCATACTCACAGTCTGCTCTCCCTCTGGGTCACATCCATCTGCCCTCTCACCCCATGCCCACATCCCCCTCTGGGGCACAAACTGACCATTCCCTGAGCATTTTTCACACCCCATCAGAGTGCCCTAGCAGGGGCACATATAGCCGTGGCCCCAAAGAAGCACCGAAGCACTCTGAAATCCCATGGGCAGAAGTAGGAATTACTTCCCAAAGAGACACCACATGGAAAAACAGCCCAAACAGAAGCTCAGTGAGGCGTGGAGCAACTCAGGCATTTGTGCTTAGATAGGGCATCAAGCTCATGTTACCCTCATTACCAAGGGTCCAGCCAGCAAGGCTCAGGAAAAGTTTTAAAAGAGTAAGTAAAATCTTACATGCACAGGGCAGTCTGTGCATGGAAGGGCAATTCCTTTTCCAAAGAGCCCAGCTCTATATGCAGATAATGGCAAAAAGATTACTATATACATATACACATACATATACACACATACATGTATATATTTGTAATAGATGTATATAAATGTATAGTTTCTTCCTTTGCTCCCAAGAGCTCATGCCACAGCAGCCCTGTCTGGGTGGCAGTTCCCTCCATCTCCTGCTCCATCTCTACTATGGAAGGTTTGCCAGTACCAAATCAAGGCAAGATGTTACGGAAACACATCCATTCTGGCCACAAGCTGAAGATCCTGGATAACTTCCTGTCTCTAGTGATCTGGAAGATAGGGCACATGGTGCCTGGGGGTGTTACTGCTGGTGGGATACATGCAGATCCCCTCCTTCTTGTTGCTCCAAGGTCTGCAGGAAGGTCCCTGTAGAGCAGAATGTACCAGGCTTGGTCCTCCTCCCTCTTACATGGTGGAAACTCTTCATTTGGCACTCACCTGATCAATACCTCATCCAAATTTTACAGCACTGGCTCTCGGTAGGCCCAAGTCCCAGTTTTCAAACATCAACACAGCAGCCTCAGATCAGTTACTCCTTGTCACAGAATCACAGAGGTAGAAAAAACCTCTGAGATTACCAAGCCCAATGCCAGCCACCCTCCACACGCTCACTGCCCACATCCCTCAGTGCCTCATCTCCATGGTTCTTTAATGCCTCCAGGTACAGTGATCCCACCACTCCCCTGGCAGCTGTGCCACTGCATCACCACTCTTTCTGAGGATTTTTTCCTATCATCCAACCAGAGCATCTGGCTGTATTGGGCATGAACCACCATGCACGTGCCTGCACACGTGCAGCTGAAGAAAAGACCCAGCCACATACCTATTTCAAAGTGCCTCAGAAGTTCCACTTCTTTCATTGAAAAGTCAAATGAACTCAAACTGATCTCAGATTGGAATTTTCTAGGACAATAGGAAGGCACTGGAATTTAACTGATTTTGATTACCTGCATTATTATTATGCTGCCAGTAGCGATAGTTCAGGTTGGTGTAACTTCAAATTTACCGTGAGATGAATCTGACATTTTTCTGCTGTTGAACAGAGGACTTGAGCAATGCTTCAGCTCTTCACAAAGATGTCATAATTAATACAGTAATCTCTCTTCTAGATAGAAAAGGAAGACACAGTGGCACGTACTCTGCACCTAGGAGCTGAATGAACGACGGATGCACTGCTCCAGTGTTCCTGAGATTTATTGTATTTTTTTTTTAAACATTCAACACAATTTCTGCTGCAAAGACACCTCTTCCCCTCTCCTGTCAGCACACAAGTGGGAATTATTAGCTGGCAATAACTTACGGCCAAAAGGTCATCTAATCTTCCCCCAGCTGGCTATAGGAAACATTTCCATCCCCTGAGAAGCCTGGAGCAAATTCTTCCAAAATCCAAGGCTTGCTGCTTTCTTCGAGGCAGTTTGAGCCTTTCTATCTCACTCCTTTCCCACCAGGTGTGCATACATCTCCCCAGCTAAAGACAGAGTTTGTATGAAGCTGGGCTATCCAAATGCATGGGATAAGTGTTCCAGCTTGGGAGCTCCAGCATGGGACCCCATTTCGATCCATAGGAGCTGCAGCAGGAGAAGCAGACCTGAGCAGTCACAATGATGTGCTGGGAAGCATGCAGTGCAGCTAGCAGGCTCACTGCTCTGACACGGGGGCATCAACTCCCTGCATGTCAGCGTGTGCAGACCTAAATCCTGCTTTCCACTGCAGTAAGTGATCTGAACACTTGGTCACGCAAACTGAAGGAAGATGTGCAGCAGATGCTCCATCCCACCCCCACCTCATCCCACCCCACTCCATCACATTGCATCCCGCTGCATTACATTGCATCCCATCCCATCCCATCCCATCTATTGTCATGGAGACATGAGCCATGCCCTCCCCTCCCATGGGAAGAGTTTTCCCATCTGCTAGGAATGCCTGACTGGGAGCTGCTGCCCAGCTGAAGCACATGTTGTTTTCGTGCAATGGAAATTAAACAGAACAGTGAACTGGGACCAAAGTCTCTATTGACAGTGATATTATTTGAAAAGATAAGACTTTAAATGCCTACTGCACAAGATAAAACCTGGACAGGCAGACAATAGAAGAGTAGGGTGTTGGGTTTTGTTTTGTTTTTCTTCTTTTAAGAATTTGGAAAGCAGGATTGCCTAGCATAGTTAGTGCTATAATAATAAATACGTATTTTAAAATGGTTGTGAGCAACTGGGAATATGGAAAAGAAAAAACAGAACAATGCCACTTACTTTAACTGCCAAGTAGAATGAGAAAAAAATCAGTTCCTTCATCTCACAACAGTTACATTTCTTCAAGCCAATCTAATTAAATTAATGTGCCCTTCTGAATCGAAGCACCAAACATTCAAAAGATTTGTGCATAGGAGCAGCAGTGCTCCCAGGCAGCACTGACCTCCACAAGTGCCATACTTCTCACCACAGCCAAAGGGAACCACTGACATAACAATGACTTCCAGGTGGGCAGAAGGCACAGTAAGGATGTGATGCACCCAAAAAGCACATTTGTACCTGGAACTCGGAGCAGTTGGAGATGTGAGGAGTTGTGTCCTGGCCCAATTTCCACCCCTGGCCTGGCCCATTTAGCTGAGGTGTTCCCAGA